GCTGAAAGTTCCCCTAAGAGGACAAGTGGGTTTCAAAACAGTTCTGGTGGGACCCTAGCAGTAGAGCTGAGGCTGAAACACATGATAACTGGGATATAAAGAAGGCTGAAAGGTCTACCAGTTCCCCACCACATCCTATGCCAGACTCCCTCGGTTTGAGAGCTGAGGTCAAGACTCCATGGCAGCCTTCAGATGTGGCCCAGAAGAGCTGCCTGGCCATCTGGTTCCTGACACAAGAAGCACTGCCCCAAGGCAAGAGGGTGCCGTGAGGCAGATAACTCACCAGCCATGCTCAGACACCCTTCGCTATAAACCTGGAGTGCTAAAAAGGCAAATCTGATTTAAAGCTAGAAAAGGGAGGGTGGGAGCTCAGGAGGAGACGAGGAGAAGGGATGCCCTCCAAGGCAAACCAGGAAACCACAAGACCCACCTGAAGCACTTGGTGAAGGTGAAGGCACTGAAATGCTGGGAAGAAATGCAGGCAGTGACTTCGTTGGAAGCTCACTGAGTCCAGCACCGCTCTGCGAAACATCGCTCTGCCTCCCAGGCTGTGTTGCCAATGAGGATGGCAGGAGGACCTCGTCCAAGGAGCTAGTGCGGGGTGGAGCAGGAGCCGAGCTCCCTGCCACACTGGATGTGTGGGTGTCTGACATGGGCTCTGTCCTCCTTTCCCCACCACTGGTGTCTGTCACTGAGCTGGGTGTACTGGTGACAGAAGCATTGGGCAGGTGTCCTCCTGTAGCTGAGGTCCCTTCTGCTGAGAAAGAGCAAAGTAATATCAGCTATAAGCAGGTGGGCATGCTCTCTTCCATCACCACCCTTAGGCTGACGGCACAGATATAACATGGCAGAAGATCTAAATCTGGAGAAAACTGTGAAGGCACAACCCTTTCCTGTGCAAGGAAGTGCTGCTCGCAGGAGGACACCCTGAAGAGGGCACTAGGAACAAGCCATGGGAGCACTGGTGGGTTTGCTTCCCTTCAGCACTGCTCCTGGTGCAGCAGTCCAGCCATAGGCACTGTGCCCTCATGCCCCCACCACAGCGCCCGTGGTGAGCAAGGTGGGGTTACAGCAGCACCTAACTCCCCGATACTCCAAACAAGGCACGGCAGGCTTGTACGGGATCAGTAAATACCACATTTGCATCCCAGGGTGGGAGTCAGTAATGAGTGGTGTTGCCTCCTGCTTGTATAAACACGGCCAACGAGGAGGTCTTGAAATTGTGCTGTTTCAGAAAACACACCAAATCTCGGGGCCAGACTGCTCTTGCAGTAAGGCTGTTGTTTTTTTTTCTGGTGATTAAATGCAAAAAACAAGCTGAAGTTGAAATTTTCTTCTGTAATGCCCAGTGCCATTGTCCAGCAGTCTCTAGCACGCCCTCACTCCTCCATACAGAGCAGAAGTTTGAGGTCTTTGGGAAGAAGCCCCACGGGGACGGTCAGTGCTCACCTGGGGAAGCGCTTTCCAAAGCAGATGGTGAGCCTGTGAGCAACGGGCCTGTGGATGACACAGTGGCACCTCTGCCACCAACACCTGGGGCTCCCAAGGAGGACCAGGTATGGTCTGGAGACCTGATGGTTTCAGTACCAGCGGTGGACATCTCTGTTGTTTGGGGCAGTCTGGTGCTGGCTGGCAGAGACCTTAACGTCCTCCCTCCACCCTTGGTGGCTGTTGTGGAAACGGAGGTACTGGTGGTAGGGAAATTTGTTCTTCTCTCTGTTGACAGGAGGCTGAATGACGCATGGCTGCTTCCAGTAGCTAAGATGTGAGAAAGAAACAATTTACATTTTTACACACATGAAACTACAAACAAACAGGTGAGCTTGCTTCGAGTAACATCCAACAGCAGCAAGTACATGCACAAGTAGAAAATATGAGCAGATGTCAATCCAGAAAAAATAGGAAATTTCCAAAGACCTGAAACCTCCTTACAGAGATTTTTCTTCTAAAAAATGTGGTTTGATGCTGAGGAAAGTGCTATTATATAAAAACTGTTGAACTGCTATGCCGTGCACTTGATTTCACCATTATGTGCCTGAGTGCACTCCATGCTGCTTGAACAAACAAATACCGTAAGAACCCAGAAAAGCCTGGAAATCAGTTCAGACAAGGCACAACACTGAGCAGTGTGAAGGTCTTAGAGAAGTCTGAAGAAATGGGACAAGGGGTATCAGACCCCTTCAGCACCGCAGCGGGGTCTAGGACCAAACAGTGGCAGGAAGGACCTCAGAAACCACATTCAAAGTTGCCTTAAATTTGTTGAACTGGTTCAATTCCTGGGAAGCAGCATGGTCCAAAGGGTAGGACAGAGGGCAGGAACTGAAGTCCAGTCCCTGGGACTGCAGGGACACGATCTAATCCTCACTTGCTTAGTTTTCTTGCGTATAAAATGGAGATAGCAACTGGAGATAGTAAAAAAAGAATCAGGATTTGAAAGTTAATTATTTTTCTTGGCGTAATGAAACTTTCCATACATGTGCCCTTTCTGTCAAAAACCCAAACCACATTTTTTGGTCAAGCAAGAGCTGAAATATTTCAGACACAAAAATCACACTACATCCTTCCAAACAATATATTCTACATAGCAGAAAAGAGTCAGGCAAGTGTAAGCTACAGTAACTTTTATTTGCAAGAAAAATGGTATTTCATTTCCAACTTGAGCTCACCTGGGGAAGGACCTTCCGCAGCAGACCGAGAGCCTGTTAGCGAAGGGTCTGCCACCCACTCAGTGAAATCCGTGATTTCTGTGGACCCACGAACTCCATAGGTCTCTCTCACAGAAGACACGGACGAGAATCGGATCGTGCCCAAAGTCCTGTACATGCCACCACTGGATGTGGAGACTTCTGCTGCCCATCGGCTGCTGCTCGTGGCAGACCTCGGGGGCCTCCCACTGCTGCCGGTGGCCATGGCTGAAATGAAAGCGCCGGTGGGAGAGGAAGCAACGTTTTTTTTCTCTGTCGTTGAGCTGTTAACTGGTCGGTGGCTGCTTCTGACACCTAAGATACAATAAAACCAAGTTTGATTTATGCATATACAGCTATACATTTGAGGGATTGTTTGTACAGTCTATGTTTGTACACTGCTGAGATATTGAATAGACCAAGTTGTCACCCTGGAAAAGGCGCTGCTCTGGGAAGAGGTGAATCCCTTACATTCAAGCACACGTGGCTTACAAAAAGCCATGAAAATCTCAACTTAAAACCATGTTTTTTAACTGCAGGCTGTGCACAATGCCCAATTTATGCATTTAAGCTGCCTTTGAGCCTGTTTAAATCAGGAGCGTACACCTTTAACTTCAAAGCAAATCTAGAGGATGAGCTAAAAAAAGCCTGGTTTAGGTTTTCTTGTAACAGCGCAGAGAGCCAAGCTGCCATCTCAGTGCCGGGGTGACGGCACAGCCACGGGGCCGAGCACCGGCTACCCAGGGCCACGCAGGGCCGGATACAGCCTCACGCAGAAGATGCTCAGAAACACCCCAGCACCCCAGCCTGGCGTTTGACCCAGCCTGATTCACCCCACGTTTAGCAGCTGTGCTGCCCCGGGGCTCTCCCAAACCGCAGCGCTGGGGATACCGATACCTCACCAGCTCACCAGGAGCAGGAGCTGCACTACAACTCCCATGGCAATGGGCTTCATTGCGAATTTGTGGTGAATGGTGGGGCAGAGCTCACTTGGGACCACTCCAAGGGCATGGGGTGAGCCAGCACTGTCACGGCTGTCGGGACTCCCAAAACACTGCCTCTCTTACAGACCAGCCCGCATGGCAGACACAGTGCCAGGTGATGGCTGCAAATCCCCACTAAAAGCATCTCCAGCAGGGAAAAAGTGCATGCACAGGTTTCTAACCGATAGCTGCTTTCCCCAGCACAGGAGTTTCATTAGCAGTGAGGACACTGATGTTTTTCGCTTCTTCACCCAAAAGCCAAGATCCACTCCCACCTTCCCCACCATCCCTGCTTTCAGCCCGATGCAGCCAGGAATAAAAATATCCATGTATCCAATAGCGACTGATGGCCGTATCTAAATGCATTTCGTGGGGATGCAAAATCTCACCCAGCCCCAAAGCAGCCAATATTCAGTCTAACAGATTTACCTCGGAAAGTACTTTCGGAGGCAGAGAGGGAGCTTGTGAGCAAAGGCTCCCCCGGAGGCGCTGGGAGATCTGTGGCTTCCCGTGAGCCGTTAGGATGGTGCGTCCCGACCCCTGAGGAGGAGAAGGTGCCTCCCAAAGAGCTGGTGGGGTCGGTCCTGGTGGCAGAGCCCCTTGTCACCCCAGCTGTGCGGCCGTTTGCGGGGGACCCTGGTGCCCCCGCTGCCACGCTGGGCATGTCAGCACCATGGGCGTCCGAGTGCAGCGTGGCCTCTTCTGCAGCTGGGATGCTCTTGGGTTCGTAACTGCTGCTAAAGGCTAAAAAAAGGAGAAAGGAAATATAAAACGGCATACGCGTAAGTGAAAACAGCTGGGTAGGTTTCATCCCACTATCAGTAGATGTAGACAACGTATGTGTGAATATTCAATACGGAAATATTCAATATTGGGAAATCGTTAAGACAGGGAAAAAAAATGGTCTCTATATAGGAACTCCTGAAGTTATTGCTTGCAAAATTCAACTGAAAGTTTTCAAGGAAAATCTATCCTCCTCTTCCAACAAGAATAATATTTATCCATACTTTCATTTCTGTGAAATGTTTTTAAACGTACAGAATGTGCCAAATACAATATTATTCCTCCTTTCTTTAAAATAAAAAAGGATGTATTTGGTTTATAAAGAGTCTTTAAATAATGTTCTGGGTTACACAGCTAGCTATCAAAACTCACTCATGGAAGTGCTTTCTGAAGCAGACGGCGAGCCTGTGAGCAACGAGTCTGTGGCACCTCTGCCACCACCACCCTGGGCTCCCAAAGACATCCCAGGTAACCGGGTCCGGTCTGAGGAGCTGGCAATTTTGGTACCAGTGGTGGAAATCTCTGCTGTACCAGCCAGCCTGGTGCCGGCTGGCAGAGACCTTAACGTCCTCCCTCCGCCCTTGGTGGCTGTTGTGGAAACGGAGGTGCTGGTGGTGGGGAAATCGGAAACTCTCCTCTCTGTGGTCGAGATGTTGGATGGCTGGAAGCTCCTTCCAATGGCTACGGCACAATAAAAAAAAATGGGTTTATACGTACGAAATTATAAACAGATGGATCCATTTTCTTCCCAGATGCTTACAGCGCACATACGGATATTAAGCATAGGAAGTTTTCAATCTGGATAAAGTGCTCTTTTGGAAAGGCATGAATCCCCTCGCTGCAGGAAGACCTTGCACGAAAACTGGGGATCACTGCGAGGACAGCATGGCTTCACAAGAGCCGGGGTGGCTCGGCCAGCAGGAACCCCCCCGGGAGAAGGACTGCGGAGATTTGCCTTTTAAATCCCACCTTTGCTCTAAGACCAGTGGAAATCGGCCCAGGATTTCTTAGTATTTTTTTTGCATCTGGAACACAGCATCAAACAGCAAAGGGGGGAAACGTGAGCACACCCGCGTTCCCGTATGAACCTGCACCTCACTACGCATCCCAGGGCTTAACGGAACACAGGGAAAAAATGCTTAAGGAAGTACAAAATAGGGTAAACCAACAAATTGTAGACTAACTGAGCTCACCCATGGCAGTGCTTTCTGAAGCTGGGTGAGAAGGGGTGAGCCGACGCTCCACGGAGGGCCCAGGGAAACCTCCCAGCCCCAGGGCCACCGATGAAGATAACTGGGACCTCGGGTTTTCTGCAGCTCTGATGCCGCTCCCAGCAGCTGTGACAGAGGAAAGGGAAGTGTCAATGTGAGAACCCTGGAGATGTTTTTGCTCCTGGCAAGCCCTGGGCACAGGGTTCAGCAACACTTGAGGTTTTCAGTAAGTTCACGTGGAGTAGGGCAAAGTCTCCGTGTTTGACAGCTCCAGAAATCAGCTGCTTGCAAAGCAAGCGAGGGGAAGCCACAGAGCCCCGGGATTTCGGGTTTGTTGCGCTGTACAGGTTGTTGGAGCACAGGCATCGCACTCTGTCTAGCCGAGAGCAAACCCACCCGGTGTGGCCGTGATTGTGGGCTACCAACCTCACGCCCCCCTACAGCACCACTCGGGTGACACCCACAGCTCAGGTGGGGCTGGGACCTCACCTCTGCTCTGCAGCTGGCACTGAACCAGCTGAGATATGGTGCCCATCCTGAAGAAAACACAGCGATAAGGTCCAAAGACCTTTCTTTTTTTTTTTTTTTAAGTGGAAAATGTTGGGGGGTTTTGGACCAAGTGATTTTTTCCATTGCTTTTTCCCGCTTTCAGCAGGGAATTTCAGCCAACCACCCAAATAACAGCAAACACAGCACATGCAAAACACAGCATCTTCTCTGTTTCAAGTAAGCAAAAGCTGTATAAAGGCTTTTTAAAGCTATAAAACAAATCCGAGATCCAGTAAAGCTCACCTCCAAAAGTGCTGTCCATAGCAGGCGATGCTGTGAGTGAAGGGCTTATGGAGTCCCCCATGACATCCCTGGGACGTAGCATGATGTGGTTTGTACCAGTCTGAGTACTGGAAGCTCGGGGGGAGGACTGGGGCTGTCCCGAAGAGCCGGGGAAGGTGGCGCTGGGGAGGGGCTGCAGCGTCGCCCCGCTGGTCCGTGAGGAGCTGAGTGAAGTGGCGGCGGTGCCCGTGGGAGGGCTGCCAGGTGGCTCTGTGCCCACCCAGCCGCTTGCCGGTTGAGAGCGGCCACCGGTGCCTGCAAGGCAATGGAGGAAAGCAAATGAGAGGACAGAGACGGGCTGAGCTGCCCACCCAGCATCCTCCACTGTCACCTTCCGCCTCCCCCCGCTGCCTGCGGTCTCCTTGCCTGTACTCTGCCTACAGCAAGAGTTTGGGAGCTGCACCAAGTAATTCATAATTTTCAAGGCCAGGAGAAGCCACATGGATCCTTCTCTCCACCCTCGTGCATGAAGCAAGCCAGAAAACTGCCCTGAGCACATGGTGGGGATGGAGGGCGGGATCCAGCGCACAAAGCTCTAGCAATGCCACCGATGCCCAGTTTCTCCAGGCAACAGCATCCTCCTTGCTCCCAGGCTGATCTGGGATGTCTCACCCGGGCGACGAGGCTCCGCAGATGAAGGCAGCAGCACCATCTCCGTTGTGTTGTCAAACCCCGCCATGTCCCAAGCCCCGCGGTGCCCACCCAGAGTCCTCTCAGCCGAATCGGTGCTGACAGCTGCCAAAACCGGTGGTGTCCTCTCGGCAGCTGCAGAGGTGCTGGGAGAAGCCAGAGCCCTCTTGCCTCTCTCCTGGCTGCCTGCAGCATGGTGATGGCTTCCAGCGGCTGGAAAGCAACACGGAGAGGGTCATGTTCTCCCTGGACAAGTTACCATGACTTGGCTGGGGTGGCAGCAGCATCCCCCGCAGTGGTACCCAGCCCTACCACACTCAATAGACAGGGTCACAGCTGCATCCCCTGGGTTTCCTCTGTTTATCGCAGAGCACGCTGCAAGAAGGAATGCTGGAAACAGAAGGACTGATGGGAACAGAGGGTTTCTGTCACCAAAATATAATGGCATTTCAAAATTTGTCTTCATTTGTGCGCGGCAAGAAAAACACAGTTGTTTTTTTTAAAACATTAAAAATGCACAAGGCCATAAATAGTTTATGCCAGGACAGCGAGCAGCTGGCAGCCTGGGCATGCCAGCTCCATACTTTAGACCCTAAGCAGGAAAAAAATTGAGGAATTAAAAAATTAAAGAAAATCTCTACGCTCATATCTCAGCAAGACACTTATTTCATCTGGAGATATTAAGAAAAAAAACGAAGTGGGGACAGGGCAATCAGCACAGCCTTGTCCTGCTGGCGTGGGAAACAGGCTTTGATTTAGTGCATGTTTAAAAAAGTATATTGGTTCACTCATGACCATAGTGCCACCAAATGCAGCGAAGATTATGAAGGGTTCATCTCCACGTGAGGACCTCAGCTACAAATCATGATGCAACTGGCCAAATATTTTTCACGTGGGCACTTAAAATCTAGGTTGGGTTCACGATGGGGTTCAGCTCCTCCTGGGAGGAGGAGTAGGGGTGCCGCTCCGCGCGCAGTCTGAGAGCTCCGTGGCTTGGCAGGACTCTCTGGGATGCTGCTGGGTGGTGAATAATGACAGCAGAAGCTCCTGAGAATCACCTTCATTGTAACGTTAAAAAAAAAAAAAATCTGCTTTCTTGGCATTGCATTTCTTCCAAAAATCTGAATTTCTAGCAGCACGGTGGGAGTACTTCCTAACCCACCGGCTATGCTTGGTCCATGGGCTGGGTAAGGCAAATGGGGAGTCTCGCATCGATGAAACTCACCAGAAGGATGGCTGTGGGTGGGCAGGTGGGTCGCTGTCCCTGCAGATAGGGTGTCTGGGGGTCCTGCTCCCGGCGAGGTGACATCCCCACCGCCAGTGGGGGGACCAACGTGCCCTGTGATCCCACTTGCCGCCTGCACTGCACTGTGCCTGGCAGGCAGCGATGCCCACTCCCCGCTCCTGACCAACACCGTCACCAGCTCCACACCATCCACGAGAGCACTGGAAGTCCTTATGTCCGTGTCTAAACTTCTTCTCGTCTGATGGCTGCTTTCAATGACTGAAAGGAAAAACAAGAAAAAAATCAAAATTCCATCAGCGCTGGACGTGCAGGTTCGGCTCATTGCAGTAACACCGAGGCCAAGCTCTGATCTCATTTACACTAGAGAAAATTTTGTATAATCAAAACACAGACATGAAATTTATTTTTGGATTCACACCAGTGGAAATTAGATTGGTCTGTGGGGCCAGATGCCGAAACCCACCTTTGTGCACAAGTTTCACGCAATTCACCACCCTCATGCTTTTTGTGTGTGTGTTAGGAGAAATAAATCATTAAAGGAGCAAAAAGAAAGCCTTAAACAAATAACCGATGGAGATAGGCGCAGTGTGGAGTCCATGGGAGGAGTGCGTAGGTCTCCAGAGCTGATGGCCAGCACAGTCCATGTGCCCCATCCCGAGGGCGTGATGGGAGCAAGAAGGGCCTCGCACCTCTTCCCCTCTCTCCACCCAGTCTGTACTTGCTGGATGCCTGACCTCGAATCCCACCACCTCCAGAGAGCTGGCATGAAGCTGGCTGAGAACTGCAGGGCAACGAAGAGGGTTGGTGTAACCCATCCAGCCACCATGAGGCACTGGGACAGAAGACATTGACATACGGTGTGGATTACACTGACCATCCAGGAGCTGAACCACCCCAAGGTGATGGATATTTTGGTGTATCTGATGTTAATGTCTACCAGAACATGAGAAACAAGATGGAGAAGAAGCTTGTGCATCTGTAGGACCATTTTCTGTGAGCAAATGTGGCTGGAGCCCCTCCTCCATCCTAAAAGTGTTTGGATCTGCTTTCTTGCTCCCACTGGAAGGCTGCTCCAAACTCCCACCCCTCTCATCATCCAGAATAGTTTTCTCATTTCATTAGAAAATGAGTAAACACATTTATGGAATACATGTTGGTTCCCAAGCCAGCACTAGCTTAGCTAGGTCTTCCCCTCCCTCCACTTGCTTCCTACCGTGCTGATGTGTAACAGCAGCAATCTCATCCCCTCTTTGCACAAGTTTCTTCTGCATTTCTACCATCTGCTGTATCTCACAGACCCAAACATGACTTCTCCCGGGGACATCAGCAGGCATTACATGCTTTACACGATCTCCAAAAGCCCACAGATGGCTCTGTGCATCTCCAGAATACAAACAGGCTCCCAATCTGGACCATAAGCAAGGATTTGAGATGTTACTCAGTAGCCAACTTCTCATCTCAATCACTAACCCTGACTGCCAGCAGCAGCAGCAGCAGGACTCGGTGCAGTAGCTGTAGCTTCAGCCTTGGGTCTGCCATCCAGCCTGACACTACCTGGAGCAGCGCATCTACTGGCAGCTGCCATGAGCCGTTCCAGTGAGATTTGCTGGGGAAATTGGTATTTCCAGCCTGTGGTACCAGCCAGGGCTGTGTGAGGATTCCCCATGCACATTGATCACATGAAAACCAGCAGCAACCATCCCTGCCCTACGTTACACCCCGAGGCTTGGCTGGCGCTGCAGCCTCAGATGCTCTTCAAAGCCCCCAACAAGTCAAAGTGAGTCCAAATCACAGCTGTGTCACCTGAAACGGTAAGATTCCAGTTTTGTCCATCTTCTTTATAACCAAAACGCAACCTCTGGGCTGGAATAGCCCAATGCACGCTGCACCTGCTGATTGGGCAGAATGAGAGCCTGGCTAGGGAAACCATGATGTAGGGTGACGGAGTCTGAAGCCTCTCAAGAAACTGAGAAAAGCCGTATATTTTGGGATGGGAACTTTTCCCACTTTGCCGCTCGGAGATCCACCAGGCTGTGGGATATGTCCTGCCTGTCATGCACATGGCATCTCAAATTAGGGCTGTGGATGACACAAAGGCAGCAAGCTAAAGGCACGGCTCAGCCTCTGCCCCAAGGCTCTGATGTTGAAGGTTAAGCCTTTTGCATCTGTCCTTGGCTTCCCAGCACTGTCCGTAATAAAGCTGTGCCCCAGAGAAACTCCCATGGGACACGGGACACCCAGTCCTCCTTGCCTTGCGTGTCTCCTTTGGGGTTGCTGTACCTGCCACACCAGAGATGGCAATTTCAGGAGTGGTGTCCTCTATCCATCTGCAATAGCTTCAGTGGGAACTCACCAAGAAAAAAGAGATACGTAGGTAGGACACTCTGCATTTCAGCCTGGGAGTCTGAGCATCACGAGGCGCAAGGAGACAAGAGCTGCAGTGGAGCAGATCCCCTCGAGTGCCTTTGCTGACAGCCCGAGCCATGGCTACGATGCCCACCTCGCCGAGCACACCACGCAGCTGCGGCCGTCTGGAGCCCGCTGCGAGCCACCTCCTGTCCCACGAAACAAGCTGCTGCTTGTCGCCGTTTGGACGAGGGGATGCGAAGTCGCAGGGGATGTTTGCTACGCTCATTTGCAAGCCAATACCCAACCTGTAATTGTATCCCACAAGTCCATTTATAGCAGCCTCCATGCTGAAAAATTTGGGTGTGCTGGAGGGCGGCGCACTGAATGTCGCTACGTTTCCCTCTCGCTAAAAGCTTTCAGCTGTGCAAGCCATGCTTACTGTGCCCCAGCAGCCGGCTGTGCCGCACGGAAGAAAGGCAAAGCAGCAGATGCTTAAAGAAACCCTTGGGGGATGAGTACAGACGGAGGGAAATTTGCTTTCTCAGGTTGCCAAGTCATTTGTCAACACAGACTCCTGCCAGGCACACTAAAATATATAGTGGGGCACTGCAGCAGGCTTTTAATTGCCACTTCTTAAAAATATCCCTGGAAAAGCCAGCAAGCAGTACCTTCAGCTACAGCCCTTGATTGAATGCAACCGGTTCGAAAGTAAAATGCTGCTGGTTGCGTGTCTGGTGATTGTTTGCCCTGCAAATCCACCCCGGAGTTTTCTCTGTCCTCTTTTGGCTCTGCAGAGCTGCTGGGAATAAACCGAAGCAAAACCCTTCACCTTATCATGGGCGCCAGCAAACCTGGCTTTGAGTGCAGCCAGGGAGTTGATGGGTACTATTTACACAGGTATTATTTACACAGGCTTTTTAGACTCCTCTGGCATTTTTAACTCTGGCCCGCAAGGTACGCCAGGTCCTGGTGCAGGGAGGAAAACCTCCTGCGAGCACAGGCTCAGGTCCCCGGTTCGGTGGGCGCAGAGCATGAGCCGTGCTGGAAAATCTGACCCGCCGGCATGTAGTAAGGAAACCCCAAAAAATCAGGCTGTTCAACAAAATAGACATGAAATCTCAGCTCATCACTGAGCCATCAAGCCTGCCAGAAGAGGAAGACAACCACAATCTCCTCTTTGACTTGCCTGCAGAAATTAGCCTTCAAAAATGACCCTCCACTGAAGCGGATGGACCAGATGCAAACTTTTTCCAAAAAAAATACATGTGGGACCATCTGGCCTCCCCTGATGCACTAAAGGCTTAAAGCAGAGCTGCCCTTTAGCTCAGGTACCGATTTGTCACTAACAATTTCGTCACATCCTAAGCTGCCAACTGCTTTCCACGGTTTAACTCCACATGACCATAGCTGTCAAGAGAAATATTTGACTTCCAGCGCAAAACCCTCCTGCCACCCACCGCACCGGTGTTTTCCTTCCCAGTTAAAACTAGCAGTGATGCTCACCAGACAGGTCGAGGCTCAGAGTTACTTTTTCTTCACAAGCATAACAAGTCCGTGGCTTGCTGGGAGCTGAATTATAACGCGGCCAGGACAAACAGATCAAGTTCCAGCTGATTTCTCGAGGCTTTGGGTTTGCCCCTGGCCGCCTGGCTGGATGTCTACCTTGTAAGACTCCTGAAAAAGCCCTTTTGGACCAGCGATCTTCTGTCTCCGTTTTTGGGTACAGCACTGGCATCGCCCTGGCCAAGAGGTGGCTGCTGCTGAAGCAACATCATGGTGATGCTCAAGGCTGAACCATGGGACCGCACAACACTGAAAAGCACGATACTATAAATTTTCAGCAGTGGTTGCGATCTTTCACAGACATTTTAGGGCAGGTAGTGAGGAGGGATATATGCTGCTAACGTCAGGGGAGCAGGACCCCCACAGACAGCATTTGGCAGGAGCATCACAGCCAGCTGAGGCGTACCACGAGCTATCCCGGCCCCGCTGCTTTTCTGCAGTAGGGATTTTTCTCCTCAAAGGGCAGAAAAATACTCCCTTGCCCAGGGAACGCAAATTTCATCTG